AACGTAATAGGAAAAGAGTATGTTAAAAATCAATCTCTCAAGCTTGCGACTAGAGAAATGAGGGCGCTTTTCCATAAATTAGATCTAATTAAAGCGGTTACCTATGAATTTAGTTCACAGCAATGGATTTGCTTCTCGAAGACTATTCACATGTAACTCTAGGTCGCCTTAAATTTCTAATTTGTCGCTTTGGCCTCATTCTTATTCGCTAAGTGGAATATTGGCTAATCTAGTGAAAACCAGATAATATTACACGGCAAGATTGTGCCGGTTATCAGAAGTTTGACGGAAATTTTATGGCAGAAAAGAGAAGAAACTGGATCGACCCAATTAGACAATGGGCTATTGACGCTTAATCATCGTTCACTGAAGCGGGCTAGATACCTTGGTCCTTCTCAAGTGAATAGGACAAAGAGGCAGCGGTGTTAGAGCCTACGACTAGTTAAAGATGACAGTCGCATCAAAAGCGGTATACTGTGTTTTTTCCTCTCCACCAGCACTATGGCTCTCTGCTCACTCAAAGGGGGCATATTTCTTCGAAAATAGAAGAATCATATCTTACCGGCTCCGCAGGCGTTTTCCGCGGTTGGTAATTGTTCCGGCCCCTTTGCCTTCACTACATATGCACGTTTGCAACTGAGCCTGTCCTCAGGCAGCTGTTGTGCAGCGCCTCAAGCAGTAGCGGTGGCGGTCGTGATGGTGAGGAAGGGATTTTTTCAGTGCCTCATGTCCTTCCTTCACTTTTGTTTGAACCTTCGGTTGTCATCTTTGCAACGCGTCGTGCTGAAGCAATTAGTTAGTCGAGTGCGTAACCCGAAGTATTTCCACCACAAACCGAAGTGCAAGTGTGTAGCACAACGCAGATGTGTGTCACTGAGCCTGTTAAGTCAGCGTCGTCACTTCCATAAGCAGCCATAATGTATCTGTAAAATGAACATACGCTCGCTACAAGCTGAAGCACATATCCACGAAAGATATGTGGTATCGCTCTGTTGGTGTTTCCGAGGAAAACCTACAAATCCTACTAGTACTACTGTTTCGGCTACTGCTACCGCCACAACTGGGGTGTGTTGGAAGGTTCGATAACTGGAAGGGAGACAAGTGCCCTTTCTGCTACTGCTGCTACAACTCGTGTAGCAGCGGAAAATCTCGGAAGCATATCCGGGATCAGAAGAACAGAATCAGTCGAGTATCGACGAGTGGGGTTAGGGGGAGAGATGTCTGGTAGCGGACGAACAGGGCACAAAAAAGGGGATATACAGCTATAGTAGCGGACAAGTAAGCGATATAGCAAGCGACAAGACATGGAGACACAGGGACAAGGAGACGGAGCTGGACGGAGGCCCAGTACTTAGATCGTAGTCGCCTTAGCAGACGACAGACCCGATATCTTCTCGATTGCTCCTTCGGTGTCCCTGCCTCCACTCAAGTCGATGTTTGCCGTCGATCGTTTGATGTTGTAGGAGCAACGCCTGTAGTCTGTGGCGTTTTTGTGTCAGACCGTCTAAGTTCTTCTACCAGGCTACTACTGCTTCTACTACTGCCACCAAAATCCTTGTTCCTTGTCGTCTTAGTCTGACCTCCCCATCCCTCTCCCAACGCTCCCAAAAAGTATCTACGAATCGGTGAGTGTACAAGCACTGCTTCAACTGTGGAAGATATTACAACCGGCGAGAAAGAGGCGGGGCTGTTGTACGGAGTGCAAGCAGTACAGGGCGAGCATGAGAAGGAAAAGCGGCAGTGGATGTAGGTCACTGCACTGCGCAAAAGAACAGGAGAAACGGCAAAGCCAAGCGAACCTATCGAAACCAGGACACCACGGACACCATCTTTCCGTAGCAATCAGCAGACGACAATTCCACCAAGTGTTTTGGAGCGGGAGACACCTCTTCTGTGAAGATGAAGTGTCAGGGATCAAAAATGCTCAGCGCTCGAAAACACCTTTACACAGGTTAGAGATCAAGCCCGACTGGACTGCTGCTACTATTAGCCGTAACCGTATCGGTCTTTAATTTTCTAGAAGGTTTTCCGAGGGTAAGCAGTGCAACAAAAAATATGAAGAGAAGAAAGATCGGTACGAGGCAAACAGACAAATGTTAAGCAAAACCTTGCGATATAGAGCAGTACGTAAATGCGATGTGCCAAATTGGCCTAAATGCGATTGAGGGAACATGCCTGCACGGATGTTGAAAAAAGGCAAAGAAAAAGCAGAAAGCGGATCACCTGTATAGGCTTGCATGACAATGATTTTAGAACCGCAGTCCGTAATCACCAACTTGCGTATGTCGATGTAGGGGACTGCTGGATTATAGAAGAAGCTAGAGGAACGATGCCATACAATGCGAAAGGCGTCTGCATTCTAGTATTATCCGGCTTGTTGAAATAAACATATACAATTCTGTTAAAGAAGCTACATAGTTAAAACGATGTGTAGCCAAACAAGCATCGTTTCCACACTGCAGAGCAGTTATAGTGAGATGTTGTTTAGTGTTTAGAGAATATGTAGATTTGGTGCAAATTGCGACGAGTACAAGAGTTATTAAAGCACCAGCGACTCAAGTCCTGTTTAAGTCAATAGATGGTCCTGATAGGCACAGTACAGGCGCCATGCAGTATAAGATACGTGTTAAGGCTTAGCGCTATCTTCTATCCGATTGCAACAAAGCGAAAGCATTTCCCGTATAGACCCCAAAACGATTAAATTCGAATGCCCAATTAACATTCATCAAGTAGGATGGATGTGCTTCGACGATAATGTCCGTAGACGTCACGCCATCATGACAACGGCGGTCGTACTAAAAGAATGACTTGCGTGATTTTTACGCAGCCCTCATCCAGCTACACATGTTTGTGTCCGGTTGCCTGGCCCTTGCGACAGAGCCGCGTCCATTGCTGCCATTAAACAAACGATTGTCACTTGCTCCCACGCGGGCGATGGCGAAAACAAAAACACGTGGACGCGTTTTGCCCCGCACTCATTCGCCAAATCTGCCCTCCGATCTTTCACTGCCGTGCGTCAACGTGTGTGCCTTTCACACCACCCAGACGCCGATCAAAAGGCTTTAATAAGCGTCGCTTGAGGACACGCACCACAAAAGCACCGTTCAGAACAGAATAAAAATACTTCCGTAGGACGATCGTTAAAAAGAACAACAAACAGTGAACTGCCTCTTCTTTTTTTTGATTATTTATTGACTTTGTTTAAGTCATCATTTGTCATTGTCATCATCGTTAGAAGGAACACCATCATCAATGTATAGGCACAAGTATATATATACACTTTATAGTGTACGTATGTATGTAGGTACTGCTATTTGTGAGCTAAACGAATAACAACTAAGTTTAAGTTCCGTTTAACCCATTTTACATGGCCATAATGGTATATCCATCCATGACGGTAGATCGACCGTTGTATGGGCTCTAATTCCACACTAAAGTTAGCCGGCGTCAATAAATTGAATGATGATGTCCGTGTTTTTTCTATAACCGTTTAAGAACTGACAGTTATTTTATTCGAGGTTCTTATTTAATAAAAGGTAAATTGAGTTTTCTACTGCCTACACTATAATTAGACCTGCAATATATTTTGGTGGGTGGCAGAAGAGCCTTGCGGGCCAAGGCAAAATGCAGGTCATTTCGTATGCTAACTAAAAACATACAATTATGTAACTATTGACGTGTACACATTTTCCTGTAACACTTCGAAACACCGCCTCGTCATTCTGTATTATATACGGACATTTACGGATATATATGACTAACGACGCATAGCCGACTCACAAAGCTACCTCTCGTTTGCCATTTAGTACCAGATAATAGTGATGCTTGTAATTTAATCGACGGCTTTAACAATCATGCCTTGCCTTTGATTAATTTTTCCTAACAATAGGTACAATGTATACGTTCGCTTTGGCATGTTTGTCGAAGGTTCGCTTCTCTTACTGACGCCGGCAATTATCAAATAGCCAATAAGAAGTAGCGCCCGGCGCTCACGTAGAGCCACTTGTGTCTTTTTGTCATAGTTAACGCTTATCGCCTGTTGGACGACAGTCCGTCTGTACGCGTTAGTTTGTTTGCGCCTCCCTCCCTTAACATCGTTCCTCTTGTCCTGTGTTTATTCTATTAACTGCAAAAACAAAATGTCTTAGCGCCTTCTACCTGACAATTAGCCCACATCGTTCCGTTGCATTGGCACAGCAACACCTGTGTGCATGCAAAACTTTCCAGTAGATGCATGCTTGCCCCACTTTAATATTGTTCATGCCGTCAGAGTTGCCGTCGAAGCTTTACCTGCGGACACGAATTCACTATCTGTAGGAATATGGATGATACTCGATCCCCTGGCTTTTCGCCATTCGTTTGGAGCTCAAAACTGCGAGGCTGCTGTTTTCTCAGGCGATTATATTCCACGTACGCGGCATATGGTGGCGTAGGGCACAAGAGGGCGGAATCAAATGAAAGTTGAAACTGCGGAGGATAGGTACCTTCATTTCCCCTCCGTCAGCTGTTTAAAAAAAGCCGCTAAAGGCACGACAACTCGATGTATCGCGTACAAGCAAAAAAAAACTATCGCTTGTTTTCCTTCCGGTCGCTGTTGTTTTTGCTACAGCGTTAACTAATGCGGCTAATTAAATTATAATAATAGATGTTTATGTAGTAAGCGGCCAAAACACACGAAAAACACAATATCGAATGCTGCTATATTTTAGTGAGTAGACAACGCGTGTTCCGTCAAACGGCCCATTTTGTCCTCAGGTTCCAATGGGCATTTAGTAAATATTGTCCCTAAGTGTTCGCAGTCTGGTTGCTTTCGTATATTGCGATTCGTAGAACGTTTTCCACAGCCAAGTCAATAGATTCACTTGTAACACTGCTCAATTGTTTGTTCAGTAGGTCATTCGAGTTTACGAAGAATACGGTTAGAAGTACTGATAAGTTTCTGTGGTCTATTTGCCTATTGATCCCATCGTCAACAGCATAATACCTCTATTACGTTACAGGTGAGTTCCACCGCCCTCACCCGAAGTGCAAGTGGGACTAGGCCAAAGACAGACATGGCGGACGGTTTGGAGGCGTGGAGAAATCTCTCCCAAAGTAGCGGCTCTGCTGCTGCTGCTAGCTATGCTCATCTGGGAGCCCGGACAGCGGCACAAAGCTTTCCACCAGGATTTGACCCTACAACAGCGGGAGCCCTAGCAGGATATTCCTTTCCAGGGTAAGTGCTCCAGCGAAGGATGTTTTCGATTCAAGTGGAATACTAAGCTTACCGATTCATGTATATAACAGGTTAGAATTGTTGCCTATGAATTCCCACATAAGTTAGCTAGAATTAAAATGAGCTCAGATCGTTTGGAGGGACCCTGTATCAAAGTACCAGTTCAATTCCTACGATCGTCTTTCTGCTCCAGTGTTGTCATCAAGGAGACGAGGCTATTGATGGTAGTTAGAATATGCGGATGTACGTAATGCGTTAGGCTATTTGAGATAAAATAGTAGGATAACGTCCGGCCTATTCGTTGACAGTCCACTCCGTGTGCTATTATATTCACATAATAAATATTAGTATTGTTTACTAGTGTATCTATAAAAGGAGCGTTTCGCGAGGACGAGGATAAGACTAGGCCGATGATTCCACAGTTAGTGAGATGGTCAGGTCAACGAAGTGATCGGCTGCATCAATAATCCCTTTTCTTAATGAATCAACTAAAACAACTGACTTGTAGGTCTGGGAACAAAAGAATATCTCTTTTACAGTTAGACAGAATCCGCTGAACGACTGATCTCGCTAAATTAAGATAGGGTAGACGGTCGATCTGTGATTTATTAAAGGCCTATAGAATATTAAATTATTCAGAAATGCAGCTGATGTTACAATAGAAGGCGGCATCGTGTGCCTGTCATTTGCACGCTAGTCCACACGTCGTACCGTATCAACTGGATATTTGCTTTCCTCGTTTTTCACGAATTGCACCACAATGGCCTGCACGCCTCAAAGTTGATCTTCTATTACACACCGACATTTAGAAACAGCCAGAACAAGTCTGCAGCCCGACTACGTCCTGTGGTGATGAAGTGTCCCGTTTTAGTAGGTTAAGGTTATTGTATGTAACTTTATTTATTTTGCCTTTGTCGAGCAAAGCTGCGGAGCTCTGGTATTAGAAGTGCGAGGTCGCTTTGGCATATTTTTGCTTTCTTAGAAGAAAGAATGAATGATTTTTCCTTATCGGACAGTATCAGTAATAAACACGTATCAAAAACAGAAACTTTTAGCTGAACCATGATCTGTGTATTAATATAATAACGCCTAGGTTTCGTCCACCAGTATCGGCAGCAGTATACTACTCACTTCGGTTACACAATAGCAAGCTTCGTTAGAAGTAGGATTGTCGAAGCTCGTGCCAACCGTTCAGCAATCACCACAGAGTATGGTACGCTGCTTATAAGCGAACCGTATCACTACCATGACGAAGCGATATGTAGCTTCTGTTGTTAATGAAGCTAGAGGCTTGCTACTGTCCTGGTATCGAACGAAGAAGGGCACTGCTGGTTCGGGGACACTGCATACAACCAGGAGAAGCCCAGACGCCAAGGAGGGTAGGAAGCATCGATTCAAACAGACATACTGCAGAAAACGTGTAAACCTATCAGGAAATGGCTTGGCCTAACGTGGGTTGTACAGCGAAAGGGAGGTGCCGAGTGGCCCTAATCCCGGTTCATGTAATTGCAAATATTTATACAAAGCCATACCTATATATCGCGTCATCTGCTGCTGCAGCTAGTACTACTATTACTCTTACTTCTACTACTATGATTGCGGTCTCGCACCGTCCCTGGCACCATGCGCATCTGTGTCAGGCGTATTTATCACAATTAATTCATAACGGTACATACAGGCAAGATGCAGGTGGTGCCAAAGGCAAAACGACAGAAAGCGCTGGGGCAATCGCGACGGCGACAAAATAATATATACCCTTCCTTTCGACTTGTTCAACTTTTGAAAAGCTGGTCATAATTATTTGTTAAGGTCTTGCTAGCTCACAATTAGAATCATGCTGGGTGAACCCATATGGCTAGCAGTGCTTCTGTCCTGTCTGAGTGAATTTACTTTCTAGATCTAAACGGGTAGAAGTGTATGCTCGGTCTACTTTGAAACGATGAATACCTGTGAGCAAAACTTGCAACCTTTCAATCGTCCTTTTTGGAAGTTTGATAGAAATTCTTAGAGGCGCAGCCGAATCAGCTATTACAAAAATCAAACCCCTATGCCTGCTATTCGTCTGGGGTTTACCGCGCCTTCAGATACGACTAACACTGGGTAAACAATGATGGCGAACAACCCAACTCACAACCGATTCTTCTTTGAATTATTCCAAAGAGTACACACAGTCATTTGGTTTTTTTTATTTTTGTAGAGATCTTTTTGCTACGAACAACATATTTTTTGAGAAATTTTATGCTAATTTTGCCCTTTACTTTTCCACAGATTGGGCGCTTTGGGCGGCATGGATCTGAATGGCGCCCGACGGAAGAATGCAACCCGCGAAACGACCAGTACGCTAAAAGCATGGCTAAACGAGCACCGCAAGAATCCATACCCCACCAAAGGAGAGAAGATCATGCTTGCTATTATTACCAGGATGACCCTGACTCAGGTAGTTTTCATAAATTGCTCCTGAATATATAAAATACCATGCAGAGCGTTCACAGCTGCTCGTACGCACTTATGGATCTTAATCGTAGTCTAGGTTCCAATCGCAACAAGTGGTTTCTAAAAATATTCGAATCTAATTTAATGAGGTACTCTAATTTATAATAAATGCCCCCACCCTTTCGTTTTCATGGGTATATCATCTTTAAAATTATTCACCGCGCGTAGTTGATTTATTTCGATTATAAGACGTACAAAAATACCGCGGACTCTTCTTGGGTTCATTACGAACGCAGTATCGAAGTATAAAAAAACCTTGTAGCGGTGCTCAATTACCAGGTATACAGCTGGCAAAAAGTATGCCGAAAAACGTTTCTTCCATGTAGCATTTCGGCGCGGCAATGAAGCCTGCGGCACGTAAAGAAGCCGCGTTGGCTCTTCGTTACTTGTAGCTAAAACCGATATTTAAGAAAGACCAACCAAACTCCCATTAAGGAGCGATCCGTCATTTTTATCAAATCTATTAATCGCCTCCATCTCGGTGTTGCTGTGGATTCGAATCATGAGTACCGACAAAACCTCTGACCGAAAGTTGGTGAACCAAATATGGAAAGAGAGCTTCGGACGCGTCGGCAACGTCGCAGGCCCTAACGATGCATACACATAGCATTTATTTCGTAGCCTTTATAGACAGTAATAAACGTGCAATGTCGCAATACTGACGTTCGAAAGATAACGAGATATTTTTAAAGTCACTTCATGCTTTATTATGTTACCTAACTGTTCAAAAGTTATGGCTTTCAAAGTTTGCTGTTAGTGAGCTGGTGTCGAGAGTATAATCGCGTAAATAAAAAAGAAAGAGACTTTTCGAATTAAATCAGCTTTAAACAACATTCGAGTCGTTCAAAAAATGCGTGAGATAAATCGCTTGAGTACAGGTCGGGATAAACGGATTCAGAAGAAAAACCGTGTTCGGGTTCGAAAATCAGCGCTCGGTGGAGAAGTTTTTATGCCGCAACGGTATGGAAATTTATCGGAGGTTGGTAAAAACATCAGGTGAAAGGGCCTGAAACGCTCGAATTGTGCAAATGTTTCAATAGTGGAGCTCGGAGCATCAAAGACCAGCGAATAGGTGACTTGAAATGTCGGAACCCAAAGGACATGAACGTATTTTCACAATCCAGGAGATCTGTCACGAAAGCAGCGTTAGAGTCTAGGCTAGCTAAAACTGACACTTCACGCGTAACGCGTTACCGAATTATAACCCAAATACTGAAACAACGGAAACAGGTTCTGCAGTGAATTAACCCCGTGGCAGTTAGAATTGTGTGTAGCGTATTCCACGTGCAATTTGCGGAATTGTAGTTGATGTAAAATCCGTCTGAAGCGTACGATCGCCATAGACGAGCTATGGTTCAGTCTTTTCCGCTAGCCGAAGAGGGACCAGGTGAGATAGTATAGGCCCAAGAGAACCATCATGTTCAGCCGCAGTGTTGACTAAATTCGGACGTAAGGTCATTGCAATACTTACAGGGGCATTTGCTACTACGAAAATAACACAATGAATGCAATCCTTATCTCGAGTTCTTTATGGCGATCCAAAACGCACGGTCTAGTTACTTGATGAAACGCCAAGAGAACTTATCGCCATGCCTCTATTGTTTCCTGGTTAAAGAAAAGGAGTACCTAACGTCGGCTGAAACCCGCTGATTTCTTCGATCAAAGCCCGTATTACAAGAGGACGTCCTATGTCTTATGAGAATATCGTCATTCTAGCCTAATTGGCAGAAGAGTTACTTGATCTCAAGGTCCGCTGGATTAGCGTGTAGCAGCATAGTGTAGAGACGCTTACCTGATCTTATTTATCTGAATTAAAATGATCTGAATTAAAAACGACCATTTTCGAAGTATGCGTTACCGTAGACTATCCAAGTCTTACTTCATAAGCAAAAAACAACTATAGATACCGCTCATTTTATTAGTCAAATAGAACAATTAGTAGTAATAATAGGGCGACTGCTGAGCAGTATCTTTGTTCCTAATTTTCCATCAAGTTTTCCACTATCACCCCAAATCAATAATCGATCATCATATCGCACGTGTCAGATGACCATAAATAATACGATACAATATCACCGTGTAATATTATTCAATACAAGCAATGTTTTTAATGCATTTTTATACTTCACCTAATGCGGAACTGGGGTTCATTGAAAATGTCTATCGGATGCACTAACAGCGCCATCAACGGACGGAGAGAAACCAGTAGCAGGGGGCAACCTTGAAGGGTGTTCAACGCCGTCCGTTTTGGGTCTGCGTCGCAACAGAAATGGATTGATAATACAGTGACGTTGTACTTTCCCTCCCAAATTGGAGAACCCGACTATGTTCCCCGAATGATAAATGACACCCACTTTATGGGCTGCGATGTAACTCCGAACCCCTGTGATTCTTCTCCCACCAACGGTCTCTCACGCGACATTCGTCCCGACAGATTCGGGTATCGGTGTCCATGACCAAGACAAGAACATTCAGTGAGGCTTGATGGGCGACCCCGGTGTCTCGTGGCCAATACTTGCCCATTGGTCCTCGCGATTACTGAACCCATCATATGGGAAACGATTCCAATTGAGTCGTCGTTCGCAATCATCGAGTGTAACAAACAAGGTTGCTTGCGCAAAAGAAAAGCTTGTAGTGTTCGATACAAGAAACACGAAGGACATGGTATTGCACTCACTGATGGGTCTACTGATCGGAGCCGCTTGGGCTCTTCGGAGTGGAATGAAGTTGACTGCTATCATGTTTGGCCTATGGCAATTACGGAGCAGCTGAAACTGCGTCGATCTATTAAATATATGTATATTTATGTAAGAATGCCGAATTCAACCTACAAATATTACTGCTATGCGAACCGCATCCATTTGTCTATGACAGACACATTCGTTATATCTATACCTTTTAGTAGTAAAGATAAGCGATTGGCGGAAAGTGCATAGTACCCTAGTGTTAGGTTGCGGGTAGAACAAAAATATAGCTGATTGTGCTTGCCCCTTTTTGAAACTCTTCAGTACATCGTTAGGAATTAACCTTAAATAAATATCAAAAAGTAATATGACGCTGAGGAACGTTTACGAATTTCCCAACTGTGTCATTATATATTTAGTTCATAGGTACTTTACTAGATCCAACTGCAACATCCATCGCCAGATCAACATAGCGGAACGTTGTCAACTATTATCCGTATGCCTTGTCAGAGGGCATCATTGATATGAATGAAAAAGGAATTGCCCACCTTCGGAGTGTCAACCGAGTTCTAAAAGCTCGGGGATAATGGTCACATAAAAGAACACTGCGTAGTTTAAGATGGAGAACGTGACCCCTCTTCATTGAGTATCCTTAGTAATTGCCTAGAGCTATGGTCTAAGTTAGCTTTGCTACGTCGAAGGGAGTACGTTGAGGTATCCGATAGAAGAGGAACATATTGAACCTTGAATGGCCCTCCATGGTAGTTCCAGACAAGACAATTTCAATGTGTGCAGAAACTCGTGCTTAGCGTCCTATACACATGTGTAAGTCCCATACATATCTGCCAATACCTGCATTCTAGTCATCAACCACTGAGAATCGCTATCCAATATGGCGATCACAATTCATTAATCGTTATACTGTACAGGAAGTAGCTGTAAGTATGATGATACAAAATATACGAATTGTGCTATTAGATGCACAGTTGTCATAGTAAACAATGCCGAGTCTTTCTTGGGGTCTCTCTGAAGCTGAGGTGAAAGTTGAACACCGCAATCATGGCGGCTGCCTTCAGAAATCAATTTGAATTCCCCTCACAATTTCCATGCACAGGCATGCTCTGCAAATAGAAATCACTGATTACTAAGTCATCACGCGTCAAATAGTTACGTTCTTAGCTTAAACGGGTTTCAAAGCATGGCTATGAGATACTACAGTTTGCTAACCAAGAACCAGCTATAATACGTGCAGTTGTAGACAACAATGCCATTAATATATATCTGCAAGAGTAAGGCTTAAAATATCTAATTCTAAGTGGTATATTGTTGTTGTTATCTCGGTACTTAACATGAGTAATGGCATATATGATAATAATATACTAGATAAGACAGTCCTGTACTTGAAAAATTGTATTCCTCATCTTTCGCATGCCTGCTAACATTGAACGTCCCTTACCTCGCTTCGAACCCATGTTTTCATCCCGCGTTAAGCACTCTGGCGATCGCAATAGACTGATATCAGTGAAGTCTGGTCCTGATTGAGCATAGGAACGATTCAGCGGTCACAATGAAAATGATAGAAAAGTGTGCACGCTATTTACGTGCAGTCACGGCTTTTTTAGAGTATTTAAGTGCGTAAGTTAGCAGGAATGTACAACACCGACCAAAGGGGACGATTAACGTTTTTATCAGATAACTTGCGTATAACGTTAGGCGGGAAAAAGTTACTCGTGAAAAAAATAAATACAACAAGTTTCGTCGAAAACAAATAATCAGTTCAATGATCGTGGCGTTATTTTCTAAAAGCATTATTTCAGGATATCAATTACGAACGACCATACAGAACAGGACGACGTTGTCGCACACGTATGTGCATATATACATTGTGTGAATGTACAATTTTTCATACTAAAATTAATTAGTTATAATAAATGCAGAAATTGGAAAATGCTGGTGCGCTTTCGGTGAGAATAAAAAGCCATGTTTACCAAGTGCACCAATGCAATACGTGGACTAAACACAGAACAGCTCATTACGGGAAAGGTTGGACCTTCCGTATTTGCGTTTATTAGAGATAATAGTCTTTCTCGTATCAATCTGAAAGAACTGCACACCGTTTGTGGTGCGATCATACTCGCAACGATCATACTAAGTCTACGATAGGTGGTGGTTGTATACAGGGTGTAACAAACATTACGAAGTGGCGCTTTTCTTTTTTCTACTTTTCGAAATCTCGGACCGGACACTTGTAGTGAGCCACAGAAGCCTAGTAAACCTGAACGGTTTGCGGATATGAGCTCCTCGCCAGACTACAGCAGCTTTCCGTATAGACTTGAAATCGGTGCTAGTTCTACTAGCAGAGACACCGAAAAGAAAATGTCAAACTCGAAAGTGAGTCCCGTCAAAGGACCCCTACGAAGGTGAATTGCAAAAGGTTGGTAAAAGTCAACCCATTTCAATACGCACGAGTATAAGCACCTGGGTTTAGTATCTATGAAAATGCCATACCGACTCGCCTCGACGAAATGAATGCGGTGAAAAAAGCAATGGACAAATAAATGGCTGTGGCGTAATTTAAGAAATTGAGGTACAGAAATTTAGAGACGCTTGCTCGCTTTTGGTGGCAGTTACAACAATGACCCATTCCTGCGCTGAAGTGTGACTCACATTGAAGAACAATGACAATAGGAGACGGCCACCTCAGTGGGACGCAACTCGACCCGTGGGGCATAGTCCTAAAAGAAACGTACAGTCACAAAAAGCTTACGATATCTATTTGGTAGCCTTTTGAGTCCTGGTTGCCGATCACGGCTGAAATGTACTCTTAACAACTGGATGTGGTGATGAGAAAACTTCGCATTAGGCAGTCAAGATAAGTGAACGGAGGTAAACCGCCCAACGCTCGATTTTACATCGCAAAATATATGATGGCAAAAATGCATGAGTTAGTTACAGTTCGAGATTTTCTTACTCACCAGACGTTACTCTCGTCATAAACAGTTTGTTTACATTTTCAACAGCTTCCTAATAGTAAATTTACTTGAACATTATCAACATAACGTCGAAATTGCCCCTTGAAATCTCATTGCTTCTCATACTGCTAACTTCCACGTTAGCGGGGCACGTAAGTTACCATTCGAGTGGTGGAAGAAGGTGCATATTGTGATCAAACATGAAAGAACTAAGTCTACGAAAGGGTTGCAAAGAGAGTGCTAATTCAAGTTTCATACAAAACGTGCAATACAATCCTATTTATATACACCATATTAACTTCTATAGGTGTCCACGTGGTTTGCGAACGCGCGACGTCGACTTAAAAAAGAAAATAAAATGACTTGGTCTCCAAGAAATCGCGGAGAAGAAGATGATGATGACGATGACGATATTATGGAAAGCAATTCCTCAATGAAGGATGACAATCCTCATCAGCACCAGCAGTACCATCACCTCGGTAACCGGAGCAGCGAGGGAGAAAACGATGATGCCCATGATCCCTCTACTGCCCGAAGACATCGAACGGACGCTGCCGCCAACAATCAGAACAGGTCAGCACGCTGCCAGTAATATCATCATATCGTTATATTGCTTGCAGCGTACATACAGACACATGAAAGGCAGGATCACAAACGACGAGACAAATGAATGACTCACAATTGGTTAGAGTGCTTGTGTGTTATGGTACGGAGAATTGATGTGTCAGAACAGCCTGTACTAAAGTCTATGTAAATGGCTCTACAAGTGATAGCTTTCGCTGTAGGGGCTGCTTCGGTTTGCGCATGTGCAAACGCTGAGTTTTTAGCTCCATCGTCCTGTAACATGTTAAACAAAAGAAGGAACTGTTACCCTCGTCAGTTATATTCAGCTTATGTCTGACATAGGTCGGCTCATAATGAATGTATTAATTTGCGTTTCAGAGCTCGTTTGATGGCCGCCGAAGAAATGGCTAAAAGGAGTGAGCAGCTTGCGCAACTGATGGCATCGTCTGGTCTCCCACCACCGCCACATCCCGCCTCGTTACTCTCGATGGGTGCTATAGCCGCCAGTATGGGGGCAAATATGAGCGCGACTGGTGGGCCGATGAATGCTCACATGGCACACGTCCATTCATTGCTGCAGCTTCGAGCAACTCAGCAGCATCGCGAGGAACAGCTCCAGCGTCAGCAACAACAAAATAACCGAGACGAAAAGAGTGATGAAGGTTAATGTAGACAGATGTTTGCGGAAATTTTTTGCTAACATCTACTTCCAGATAAAAGATTGCATTCTTAATCACATCTACATCGACCTGCTATGCCAAATCACGCCAAAATTCATGAACTTTTTTTTGTTTGCCTAAAAACGGGATCATTTGATTAAGGCACTAAATATACCTAGGTACTTTCCACGGCTAGAATGTTCCTTACTTAGTAGATCTGCGAGAGTTTTCTTGAATGCCCGCCTCTGTGTGTCGTTTCTCGGTTGTATTATATATTACGGTCAACCATTTGAAATGTATAGCAGGCCGCGTTTGGTAGACTGGCTCCATAACGGCACTACCAATAATACCAGGCTTCACTTACCTACCTAGAAAAGTTAAGGGAAATGGTAAGGATGCATTTACGAACGGGGGGTGGCGATGAATGCAAATGTGCTGCCGTTCCTCCTACCTCTCAGAAGTAGTGCTACTTCTCGTTCTGTTGTCGCAACCATCCCAACGTGTACCGCTGGCTACATACTTGTCTGTCTGGTGCTTTTAGCCAGCACTGTGCTGCTATATAGACCACAGTTGAGTACTATCGAACCCCCACACGTGGGCAAAAGAGAGGCAAGGACCCCGAATTGCAGTGTAGCACAACTAGAGGCATGAACTTACACTCAAGAAGGGGCAAGCTGTTTATCCCTCAAGAAGTCACTTAGTCTTTCGCACATTGGCTTCCTCTGGGGAGCCAGACAGACCACTGTGATGTCTGTCTACCACGACGGTGGTAGTAAGTTGAACTCAGTGGTAGGGGCTGTACTATATGGTGCTATGAAGTGTTATGCCGCGATGCCTCTGGGAGGACCTATACGATACACAGTGCAATCCGGATGCTCTGACGGAGGAAAATGGCGTAAGAAGTGGTGGAAACTACTCCTTACCCATCTTTCTGCTGCTGCTCTAGCAGTGGTTCTGCGGTAGCAAGCCGAGGCTAGCCGACGATGCATGTCTAGGGACACACCGCGGCTCACTTGCGATCTATGATCCCATCCATAAATAAACCTCGGTGGTCAGCGAACATATACACAGAAAGACTCTGCACAGATATATTTCGGAAAGATAGGAGCCCACTTGACGGGGAGCCAAGGGCTGTTGGTGGACAACACGAGGACGGGCCGGAAGCGAGACAATTTTTGGAGAACACCTCGATCTTTGGTAGGAGAAAGGACACCAGCTTTCGACGTGTGTCTTCGATGCAGACCCTTGCTTCAATCCTCGTTGATACAGCCCAAATAAATAGGGTGACCATGTCATTTCTCATCGAGTTGTGCATACACGGATTCTTTTCGAAAAGCATGCTCAGAGCACAGAGAAATCAACTCCGTGTATATGTTTAGAATAAACTGCATCTACAGATTTAATAGGTGCTCTCGCAGTTCACTGTCCTAGATCGTATTCCGATCTTTGAGCATTACATGGCTGTTTTACACGTCTGTAACATAAGCATATATGGCCATATGTATAAATAATGAATGATGCGAACTGCCTCACTACGTAACACATATATTTCTCTCTAAATAAAGAACTACTTGATAATCCAGCCGATGTGTCTATTCGAAACCCAGTCCGTTTTAGAGTACTACGAATGAACGAAGAGTTTGTTGGTCATAATGTGACTACGGTGCTTATAAAGTGAAGCAATGGAGTTTACATAGCTCGGGTTCGACAGCGCACCAGCGGCGACTTCCTTCGGTCTCCTACCATTTCTTTAAGGCTCAATCTTTGTCGAGTTTCACTTTGCGGGAGCCAACGGGAGTGAGGAAAGCTGCTAGGAAGTAACGTGGAATAGCAGAGGGTGCGGAGTCGTAGAATAATAATAATAATAATAATACGAGCACTCCTGTTGTCTCTTTACTTCTCCCACTTAGCGATGGCAAGCAATCGCCGTAGCTTTAGCTAGTGGCGGTGTCGACGCCTAGTGGCAAGCGACAGTTGCGTTTACTGGCCCATAGCGTCCGTGCCCATCGGCTTTCTTTACTGCTTGAGCTCTTGGCACAATCGATTCCGCCGAGTCTGCTAGCTCCGGCGAACAGTAACGTTGCTGTGAGAGTTATTGAGCTTCAAGTCGCGCTACCCAAGTGCCGAGGTCCACCAGGATCAGGCCGACTGGCCAAGCCTCCGGATACTTCCCATGACCGTACCGCGCACTTACACCACGAATGATCAGGAGAAATGCGGTGACTATATACAACAAAAGAAAGTCGCTTGTATCAGATTCGGTTGGGCTTGAGATAGATATTCCCGATGGGCTGGAACTTATACGGGCTTCTGCCGTTCGGTAATAGTCTTATTATTATAGATCTTTGATAAACCTAAACAGAAGACTTTTTACCTATAACTCAGTGCCTGTTCGATTATTTGAGATATAATAACAGAGACAGACAAAGTTTAAAAACGCACAAAAGTAATCTAAGCGACTCTCATAATAGGCGCTGTCATGTCATTGTTCTTGGACGGCTGCTCTGAAAAATATTGCCTGGGCAGAAAGTATAACCGGAGAAAAGCAACCCAAAAAGATGCAACGGTAAACACATGTTGCGGGCATACATTTGTATAAAAGTTACTTTTTCTTCCGTTGCATACATTACTACCGATCTGATCGATGCCTGGTTGGTTTGGCTGATATTTGAGCTACGAGTGTCATTAGTGGTAGGCCAGTGTGCGATACTGTGGGCAAACTACTTTGTGGCCACAACAGATACGGTACAAGAGACCCAAAATTGAAGGAGTAAACGTAGTAAACCCATCGACACGACTGCCCTTACGGGTGAGAGCGGAGGCCGAAGGCGAATCAAAAAAAACGACCAAAAGAGAAAACGGGTCGTTTTTCCAACTTACTTGGATGGATGGGGAACTTCGAGAGCTTGAGGACTCCAAGTCCCCTGAAGAAAGCGCATTGTAGCGTGCCTATTGAATGGTTGTGAGCTGGTTCACTGGTTTGTTAGTTACTAGCGTGTTTTGTTCCCTGTACTACATCGGAGAGGGAAAGCGAGAGCAGAAGCTATGGTGGGAAGCCACGAGACGGGCCGTTTGCTTGTTCTACAAAAGTTATTGCTACTTCAGCGAGACTGTTTTGTGTGTGGAGTGTGTCCGAGTGTGGGGGAGATCACTGAAACTCCGATGCAGAGGAGGTCGAGGATATACTTCTGACAGCCACGGACCGACTCCGCTGAGGTCAGAAACGATATTGGTTTGTTTGCGGTCTTTGTCAAGGACCACCAAGACCTGTTGCAAATGGCTAGCTAGTCTAGCATTGCTTGTCTTATACACCATCAAGTGACGCCTGGTACCCTTCCTGTAGTTACGGGCGAACCTTTGATGCAAAGACTCGTTTTAACTAACAAGCCTAGAAAAGGAATAATAGATACACCGTCACAAATATCTTATTTAAAATTAATGTTTATTTAAAAAGCGATTCTTTGCTTACACGGAAGATGAAAATCAATTAGCGACTACAATAAGTTAGCTGAAATGAATCCAATCGCCAAGCTAAATCTAGCCCCACTGAAGTTGTTAGACCTCTTTGTTTTTCAAGTTTTATTTTTTAAACTTGATTTGCCCTTATCGACTTGCTCTCAAATTACATATGCGGGGCGAAGATTAGATTGTTTTGTTTACTCGTGTAAACTGCTATGACTACTATCGGCGTTGCATACACTACAAGTTCACTCTATATACATATTATGATTTCTATCTATTTCAGAAGTCGATGTCGAGGACAGAGATGAAACTGAGGGGCGTGAGCAAGCACCGAATGCAGGAAAGGTGCTATCGTCAAGTCCAAGCCCGGTGCAGAGTCTCGGAGTAAGACCTAAAATCTGGAGTCTAGTCGATACTGCAACAGAAGCCGCTGAAGGTTCACCCTGTGCATCGCCTTCGTCGAGTCCACGACATCCACCATTGACGCCTGATCAGCTGCTGGCAGCTTCGCGGTTATACGGCCAGCATGCCCAGACTGTACATGAACAATGGTGCCAGGCATTTGCGCAAACTGCACTTCAGCAACAGGACCAGCCGCAGCAGCAGGAGCAACAGAATCCCCAACAGCCATTACAGAAAACGCGACAACGGACGCCATCGCCCGAAGCAGCCAGGTCTCCTTTACCGTCATAGCCTATTGCGTCCTGTCATATATATATATATATATATATATATGCATAATATAGATAACTAATGGATAGAATAGCAATGGCAAGAAGCAGACTTCCTCACCCTGTGATCATCCGTCGTTCACTTTTTGTTTTTGTTTTTAGCACTTTTTTAATACTTTCCTTTCCATACTTCCTGTTGTTCATCAGTGTCATCGCTACCATCGCCATTTGTAACAAGCTGATCAGATAGCATCATCTTCAGTCATCTCGTGCGAGGAACGCTATACTTGTGAAATATTAAAAACAAGAAAGCTTCCGTTGCTGAATATTGATATCTAGCTAACTTGTTTCAGTACCGATGCTAACGAGTTAATAATAATAATAACATTAATAGCGACGTTGTCTATGCACGTCCTTGCTGTTGCTACGATATCAGCAATGATGTTTATACTACACACACCACAAATCCAAAGAGCGGATCTCGGAGACATCCCGTAGAAACAACGAAAACAATAATAAAAGTAATAACAACACTCGATTATTGACATCTTAGTACTAATCGTAGTAGAAAGTAGGTAAATGATTAGTAAACAAGAGGCACGTAAACAAATCAACGAACGTGGAAGTTTTGTATTCTCGTCTAGATGACGGACGTTTATTTATTTGTCACAGAACAAAAACAACAGCGTTTACGCACGTCCCGTCAATGGCTATTTCAATTAACGAGGTTCACGTGTATCAGCGTGATTGTGCATTAGATAGAGAACAAAATAAATCGACGGTAGGTCTTTGTGGTCGTGAGGCTAAGCAACCCGCAACGGGTTTCGCGGTTCAATCAGAACCTACGTGTAAATACAAATATACATTATCAATAAACCTATGAGGAACAAGCGCAAAAACAATTCTAAATATTATACAAGTATACATATATAGTTATATAGGAGTGTGTAAAATGCTTTGCTGTTCACAGTGAGAACTGGGTTCGAGTAAGGAACGCCTGAAAGAAATTAGAGGGTGCATGTTCTGTTTCTTAGGGATACAAAGGAAGGAACCTGTTCACGACTCTTGTGTCAGATTAATAAATATATTTAAATAAAGAATATTTAAGTACGTGACTCATTATTTCGGCATTTTAGATCGCGAGCACTTGGCCAGGAACCTACTAGCCAATAATAGCATCAATTATGACACTTGAATAATAGAATAGTTGTACAAACAGTTGTATCCCGAATAGACGGCAGGATCTAAATATGTACATAAGCTCTATTTCAACTGACCCGGTCGCCCACACTGAATGTTTCGGATTTTTCTAGCAGTCGACTTAGGCAACAGGTAATTAGTGGTATATATCGTAGAAGTATTCGACCACGATCAATGTATCGCTTGTGTCTTCACTGAAACGGCTTTCTCTCTCTCTATATGTACGCGGCGGGAAGACGAGAACTCTTCATTTTGGTCCGAAGTTTAGGCCCGGTTTGCGCTGCCGGTAACGAGTAGAAAAAACAAATTTGTTCGTAATTAGGGACAGGCCTGATTTCGATCTGCTTCGTGCCAACTAACGCTTACTATTATTTTTTCTTTTCTCTCACATGTAGCTGCCATTTTTGCTACTGATGTTGTCACTGGTCGTGCTGTTATTGTCAAGATAATGTATATATTTTTTTTGCATTCTAGATCTGAGCTGTGCAAACAAACGCACGTCGACATCTGAATAGTGCTATATATGTATATATACACACATATAATATCACCATTTATTTCCCCTGGCAGTAATTACAACACGAAGAGTTATTGTGACGGTTAACGTCGTTTTAAAGCGGCGATAGCAGTGCTCATACATGCGCTTATATGTATGTCGTATAAATGAGCTTAAAATGGCTCCCTTTTGTCCGACGTAGCGGTGAGGCCTGCCTTTATTAGTGGTTCCATTGCCACTGTAGCCGCTTCTGTGCTTTCTACCTCGATTATTGCACGTTATCAGATGCTTACAATTGGAGCTGTTTTCCCTATTTCGCTGTGTCAAGCTGACGCGCGCTGGTGATGGTAACCGTCACGGCGGGATGGAGGTGGTCGCGAATGCAAGAGGGCGGGGGCATTCGAGTGAAAAAGAAAAACAAAGTAAATCTCTAACTGGCTTTATGAGTTTGAGCCACTACATACAATAAAACATTTGACAACTCAATAGACACAAAACAAGATGGAACGAAGACAGCAGGCTCTGTGAAGATACTGCATGCGTTTTTCTAAAAGGACACTTAACGGGACGTAAACACTTCACTTAGCTCTCCTCTATGCTTTTATACTAAGCTTTGTTGAAATAATGGAAAGTCTTTAGGCAGACAGTGTACATAAGCAGCTACAACATATAGTGAGACCTCTAAGTTTGCAGTATCAGAGAGTCGACTCGCATGTATCTCCGGATCGTACACTTAGTGGTATTGTGATAAACTCTTAGAAAGTACTTTTATTGTATACGCACTTACATAGTGTCTTAAATAATACACGAACCGTACTTTTGAGAAAGGACTTATTTCCAGAACTAATAGCTGTCTAATAGGTCTGCGAATGGCAGAGGTTTCACTGGACACGTTACCGGAAGACGGTGACAGGCAGTGTCGACCACTCAGGTGATCAAATCGCTTCATTGCTTATGCTTCATAAGTTTCGTTCGGGATTCATAAGGTTCGTTTCGGGATAAATCCGATCGCAATGGTATACTGGCCATTTCGGAAGGTCTTACAAGTGGAGAAGCTCGAACAACTGAATCATGTCAGCGCCTTTTTTTTCATAAGAGCGCTGGGATTATACACACTGACCTGAAATAGTCTAGCGTATGTCGTAGCTTACTGGCCACTGCTCTTTAGGGACATACGCCATCGTTTTGAGCTCATAACAACGGAGGTTAGTGCAGATCTGTTTACTTGAAGCCTGATAACGAACGCTGAGTCAAAGGGGTCACTCGCTTTGCCGTGCATGGTTTCCACCATAGACTCTGCAGGAAAGCAGGTTACCATAAACCTAGCAATGCATGTAGGCGCTCCAGATGCGCGGAAAATTTTGATAGAAATCATGCCAAAACATCTTCGGTTAAGTTGATTTTATAAATCCAACTTACAAGATTAGGCGCGCCGAGATTGTCCGAAAGTTTAATACTGCAACGCAGCTGGTTTTCTTGCGTTATTTACTCGTAGTACTAGTCATTTTTCAAATGAGCCAACAAGTAATTAATGCTGGTCCTCTGGCGGCCAAATGAGCTTGTGACCATCGCGTTGTTTTTTGCCAAGTAATATTTATTTTATATATATAATATTTACATATTTATTTACATAACTTGCAAAATATCCTAGCTGGCAAGCTGCATTTCCTGCCGCAATTTGACGCGTAGGCAAAGTCGACTTGTGATGGCAGGCCGAAATCGATGTCAAATTCAACCTGAAGCAGCACTAATTATCCTTAATGTTGTAGTCGTCGCATTAAACGAATCACCAGTAAACAACTATGGCAACACTCACAGTACGAGGGCCAGCAGAAGGACGTAGAACAAAACACTTTACCATATCACCGATGCTGCCGTTATAGTCTCTTTTGTTATGTTTTCGTGTTTGTGCCGCCTCGTTAGATTAGGCGGGGGCGACGGGAGCAATGTCGACCACGTCGCTAAGCGGCCCTAATAGTCGTACTAACATGGCTCGACTCAGCATGGAAGAACCTGTGAGTCACATTTCCGCTGCCATGCATACACACGGATGGACCATCATTTCCGCTAGCAAACGACTGAACGAGAGAGGGAGGGAATGGGTTATTGCTTTGATTAACCTCCTTCTGTCACATGAGCGTTCTCTATTTTGTCGCTTCGACGGCCTAGAAACGAGCTAGGACGAGAAACGAAAATTTCATCCATAGAAAAAGTGGGTACTGTCGCCGATGCGACGCCGCACTCTGATCTTACGAGCTTGAACTTTACGTGGAAGAAGAAGAAGATTCGGTGTCGACTCGGATCGGGCTACCGGTCGTGGTGCCACTAGCAGCAGCAGAAGGATTCAAAAATAACGTAACAATAGTTATAATGATATTACATAGTAATGGCTAATTCGACGCTGTAGACCCATTCTGCAGTTGTTGGTTCGCTTCTCCAAGCGCTTCCGATGCAGGTACGTTGGATCGTACTCGCATGACGTACGCCCTCCACTGGTGTTTGTTATTTCGTACTTTTGCTACCGGTGGTCGACAAGCCGATACTGCCTGTTGCTGTTCTTTCTGGGATCGCTCAAGCGTCTAATGATAACTACTGCTACAGATATTTGTATTTTTCAGTGTTCGTGCTGTCGTCTTGCCCAACAGGTTCAACCCAACCGATGATGGTTCTCTCTTCATTGTCTTTTCTAGTGGGCTTTCCGTGTCGCTGCTGTCGGCGATGCTACCGCTGTCGCCGTGACTATCAGCGCCGCCGCAGCCTCTCAAGCCGCTGATGGGAAGCGGGAACGCAGGCGTACGTTCGAAGCAAGCGACATGTTGGACAGGCCACAACTAGTATGTGTGATCATAAAAATAGTGCCATCAACCGCCAACAACAACAACAACAACGCTTCATACAACGTATGAAGAGAAATCAGCAACCGCCTGCAGAAGTAAGAAACAAGATGCCGTCCATTGCGAAAGGCAGCGTCACTTCAGTATGACTCCTCATGATAATGCTCCAGGTATGCTGAAATTAATAGCTGTTTCAACTGCAATTATAAAATAGCTAGATGATAATATGGATAGTGCTCTTTATGCAACAGCACCTGTACAATTCAGATACTTGATAATCCCAACCCAAATGCTTTACAATACGGGGGTAAGCTATGAACCCCCAGATTGTGTGGCTAGCAGAGTGAAAACGATTTACAAGAGCACATTGTTTATTAATCCAGAATATATATATGTCCTCGCGGAAGCTTGCTTCGCTGCCTAATGCTTTTGGCAGACATCACCATTACAAAATGGTTTGTGCTATACGACATTCCAAGTAGGCGTTCAGGCTGTCGTTTTGCTGGCGACAATATGTCGTATTGTACCGCACCTATTCGACAGACCTGCGATCAGTTTACATAGGGTGACTTAACTCTGCCCGTTTGTTTTTATCCGTTTATGTTTCCCCGTCTCTTTTTCTATGTGTGGACATCATAGAATGAGTGCGTGCGTTTCAACGTTCGTTCAATGACGTCGCCAAATGCGACAATGATTGACATCCGACGATTTCGGGTTGTCGTGCAGTTATCCCCCATGGATCAATGATCAAGAACGATCTTTAACCGTTAGGGCGGATCGTGGGAAGGCGAGGTCACGCGAGGTGCACGGTTGAAGCGCTGTTTTTCCATCGCGTCGCAGCAGCCCTACTTGCCATAGGAGGCTGAATTTTGTAAAGACAGGAGCGAGCGAGCGAGTGATCAGTGTTGACGCTACTCTTATTATTATTACGATTTAGGCTGCCGCTATAGCTAATAGTCGCTTAACAAGCTTCAGGCAGCGAAAAATCAGATCTTCAAATATCATTACCGAAAAATCAGTTTCTCCCAAATCCGACAGGCCATGTCGACAATGTCAGATACCTGAACAGCTGTTTGTTGATTTAGCGATTGCCGACCTATTACGAGCATCAGATTATTACTTACGTTTAGCATTACGGGGCCGTAGAAT